GTTTTTTTTTTTTTTTTTTTTTTTTTTTTAATCTGAGCACCCTGGCTTTTTTATTTTTAAGAGCAGCTTCCCCTTGTCAGGGAACAAGGGCAAAGGGCAGCCATTTTGCTTGTCCCTTGAGGCCTCTGCCTGGCTGCTGAGGAGCCCAGCAAGTACCTAGACATTAGGAGACACAGAGAGTGGGGGAGGGGGCACGAAGGAGGGAGCACACAGCCAGGAGGCGTATGCTGCCAGCAGCCACTGAGATCCCAGCTGGAGGAAGAGTGCCCTGGCACTGAGGTCTAATGGTTGTCCAGCTGCTGCCCCAGGACGTGAGGGCAGGTGGTGATGGAGGGAGAAATGGAAAGATGGGAGGAGGGAAGTTCCCTCACAATCTGGCCTACCAGGAAGAAAAGCTCCTGCTGATGACCTACTCCCTATAATGCAGTGAGACTGCGCTAAGCAGACCACCTAAGCCCTACATGCTGCCCTGTCTGTGCCCTTACCCTCCAGGCCCACTGGTCAGAGAGGCGACAGCTGGGTCCCTTCCTCTTGCAGAATATAAATGACTCCCCTTCCTCCCAGGGCTGGGAATAGACATCAGATGGCACAGCCCACGCAAACTGCCGGCTGTCAGCACGCCTGCCCGCCTGCCCGCCCACCAGCCCCCGCACCACCTGGGAGGAGGCAACACCTCAGGCAGGCTCAGGCTTTCCGGCATTGCCTGCTGCTCTCAGAGCAGGCTGATGAACCCTACGACCCCCTCACCCTATGTAGATCCCCAGCACTGGCCACGATCAGGGGAAGAATGGAATTCCTGGATCAAACTGACCCTAGGTGAGAATCTCCATGTAACCCAGTAACCATTGCTTCTAACTTCGCACCATGTTGGGCAGTGTGAAGGAGGGAGAGCACAATTGTCCTCTGTATATCCTTTAGATGCTCAGTACCTAGAGAGATCCTGGGAGATGCCATCTAATCTAGAAGAAATACAGCGAGGTCCACTGAGAATACTTCAGCCCTCCCAGTCCCCATTCCTATGCTATTGAATCACACCAACCTGTTTGCTCACTCACATGGAGAGGAGGCCCTGAAGCTTCAGAAGGCCTGGGACATTTAAGATACTGACATCAAAGAAAGCCTCACCCTGATCACAGGAAATGGAGCTCCCAGGACTCCCAGTTTCCATGGGTTGTATCTATAGAAAGCCAGTTGTCTCGAGTCCTTGTGTGATCTATGGAGGGCTCATTGCCCTGGATGAGCTAGACCACAGCTAACTAGTCTGGCATCCAGGCCTTACCACTGAAGGCAGTCTGGGGAACAACTTTCAGCTGGAACAAGGAGGGTTTTCTGCAGGGAAGAGAGTCCAGCCCTCACTTGCTACCTGGCCAAACCCAACCCCTGTTGGGTCAAAAAGCTATCAGGAGATGACAACTAAGGAAAGATTACATGATGAGGAGAGAAAGGGAACCACACAGACTTTGTTCTCCTTGGATCCGAAGAGTCCTGCCCACTTCCTTGGCCCTTATTTTGTTCTAAAAGCATCAGAATAGTTCCATGAAGTTATGTGCTAAGTCAAGACCCTGAGCCCTAAGAACAACAAAACACGGGCCAGGGATTTAGCTCAATGGTTCTGCCGCCTGCCTTGCAAGCTCAAGGTCCTGAGTTTGATCCCTGGTACCAAAAAGAAAAAAAAAAGCAAAACTGAGATGCACAAGACTACTTTGCCCTGAGAAGGGATGTCAAGGGATGGAGCACATCCAGGTTTTGCAAGCCAGATCCCGAGGTGGGCTAAAGGAAGTTCTTAGCTGAGCTAAGGAGGCTATAAGAAGCTAAGAGCTTGATAAGCTAGTGCCCTTCACTCCTTCAACAGTTTTAAAGTGACTTTAGTGCCTTTACTGTCTTGGAGTCCACAAGACATTCCCCACCACCCCTTCTCTCCACAGTACCTGTTCCCTTGTCCCCTAGCCGAGGAGCCAAATTGGCAAGATTTCTGAAGGGCTACAAGGGTAGACCTCCTTCTCAAGGGAGTAAAAGTCATATCCTGAGGCTGCTATGTAGTCCACACAGTACAGAGCTGGGAGGGTGTTCAGTGACATCAACTTGAAAAACACCGAATATGAGAGGTGGAAGGGACTTAGAGATCGTTTAGAAACATTCACTTCACAAATGAAGAAACTGAGGTCCTAAGATACAGAGTTTACCTAAGGTGGTACAATAACCCAAGAAGACCACAAGCAATACTCAAGGATTTTCTCTACTAGATCACATTGCCTTCTCAAAACGAACCCAATATGTGTCTTTCATTCCTAACTTGCAGGAATCCAGCTCTTCATCAGACACACAGGACATCACCATCACCATAACCACCACCACCACCACTACCACCACCTAATACTTCTGTTTCCCATCAAGAGTGGAGGCCTGAGGCTCATTGTCTCTATCACCTTCCACTTGTACCCAGGACATTTCCCCATTTTTGCCTACTGAATTGTTGCTCAATAATATATGCTTCGGTTTCTGCAGCCCCAGGCCCACTTATGAAATACAAAAATCTAACCACTTGTGAAATCAGTCCCTTGAAGTTCACCAAGGAGCCACTGAAATCAAAGGCAAGTATCCCTACTAAATTCAGTTTGGAGGCATTCACATTTCCATTTTCTTCCTTGGCAAGTAGGATCTGGAAATCTGGTGCATGATCACCAGGGCTGGGTAGAGGGGCAGTGCCAGGCACAGGTACCAGGCTGCACCTTTGATCTGGGCCTGGAACCATACTGAGTACATTCCCAGGAGCACTGTTCCAGTTGCCATCAGGTAGACCACCAGTCCACATGTCAAGTGGTAGAGCTTGAGGCGAGCCACCCTCGAGACCCTGGCTGCTCGGGGAAAAAGTAGGCAGAGCCCACACAGTGCCTGGGCACCAGTGGCCAGCAGCGTCAGAACTCCTACCCAGCTGTGCCAGGACACCAGATGGGGCAGCTCACTGCGGATCTTGCTGGAGATGATGAAGCCCAGGCCTAGGGCAGCACAAAGGATGGTTAGGGTCTGTCCTGCCCAGTGGAGCCGGATCCAGGCCTTTCGGGAACAGAAGAGCAATGGGGAGTGCTCCGGTGAGAAGATTAGGATGGCCTCAGCCATGCAGAGGCAGAACTGTGAATACAAAAGAGGGCCGGTGAGCTGTAGATGTGGCTTAGAGACTTTGAAAAGGAGGTCACCTCACATATCTAAATGGAGGACAAAGGGTGAAGCTTCCTCCAAGACCTCCTGCTTCATAGGTCAGAACTTGAATAGCTGGGAATTGGCACTTAATGTAAGTCATCATTCCAGCTGACATTTGCCTTCCCATTTCTGGACCAGTGGAATGGCAAATGTTACTTTCTTCTGAATTTGGGGGACAAGGACAGTGACAAGTGGATAATATGCTTTCCACTTCCTCTTTTCAGGCCCCAGAGACGTAATCTCTCCCACACCCTCTCATCTTCTTAACCCCCTGACACTCTACCCAGAGCCCAGCACTCCATGTTTCTCAGGCCCATAGGCTATGGGGAGAGATGAAGCCCTGCTGTCTTCCCCACGTCTCTGAACCTTAGAAAGGCAGAGCCTTGTGAAAATTGGATATTTCCCCATGGGTGATGCTAAGCATATCCAAATCAATTGCAGATAGAAACTTAAACTCACCGCCAAGGCCATGAATACTGGATGCCAGGAGAAAAGACCTAAGAAACAGAACAGGCTGATGGCTGAGCACCACTGCTCCTACCCACCTTGGCTAGGTGGAGCCCAAAGAATCGGGGCACAGGGGAAAGGGCAGCATATCATGCACAAACCTACTCAGGAATTCAGGGCAAAGTGGAGTGACAAAGGACCTTTGATCAACCACGAAGGACTCATGCCAGCTTGGCCTGGGGTCCCCATTTGGCCTCTCTCAGCTGTCAGTTCAGTGCTAGAGTAGACCTCCGCCTCCCTTCCCTTGTATCCTTCATCAGGAGCCTGGCTTACAATGAAGTATCCGGTCTGTTCAATCACTTGCTCTCCCCCACACCCAGCACCCGTAGCCCCACCCTTTCTAGACTCCCCGGGCCCCGCCCACCAGGCTCTAACAACCCAACGGCTGCCCGACCCTTCACTGTTCCGGGTACCCTCCACAGCTGCCCCTCAAGCACCTCGGCTCCGCCCCCTCTCATGGTCCCGCCCCGCCTCACAAACTCACTGGTTCCTGGCCGGGACAGCGCAATCAGAAAGATGGTGAAGCCCAAAGCTACCAGGTGCGCCAAGATCCCACTGCCTCTCCGCAGCCAGCGGGTCAGTCTGGACTCCCTCGCTGGAGCGGGAACCAGACCTACCTCCAGGGGCTGCATGGCCTTTCCCGGCCAGCCGCACAGTCCAGCTGCTGGAGGCGTCTTCCGGGTTTGCTATCGCAGAGGCGGCAGCGGCTGCAGGAGAGGCTCCTCCCCGGGGATGCCGCCGGCATTGCGGCGGAGACGCCCACAGCGCCCCCTGGGGGATGCGGGGGCGCTTCCGTGGCCGCTCCCAGGAGTCCCAGACCTGAGGGCTACCAGCCCACCTTCATTTGTATCTTTGCGCCTGTAAGGGCTGTATCTTAAGCAGCCTGCGGATATTATGTCTGGCAACCGATTTCAGTGATACCCCAAATCATGCACACTTGATATGTTGACCCGAGTGTAAAACGAGTGTTTTTAGCAGCTTTCCCGAAGTACTGGGATTTCCCTGGCCACTCACTCTCCTGCCTAAACACAAGGAGAAATAAAAGGACAGGGCTGAAAATCTAGTGCTCTGCACCCGGTGAATTCAGGTTTGAGGGCGAGGAAGGGGATGCTACTCTCATCCCTCACCCGCAGCTGTCCCCAGCTGAGAAACGGAAGAGCTAAGGCACTCCCTTACCGCCTCCACAACAGCTGTTCAACTCTGAGAGCGAGGTGATCCTGAGGAGCCAGGGCCTCCCACACCCCAGGTTTTGCAAGTGATCTCCCTTCTCCCTTCTGCATACAGAAAGGGGTGGTCCAGCCCAAGGAGGCCTATCCTGTCCTTAAGGACAAACCCACTTGCCCCCCAAAAGGAGACTAAATATACTCGAGCATTCAATCCTTGGAACAATTAACCAACTCAGCTCAAGCTCCCTGTGTGGCTGAAAACAAGAAAATGCTAGTAAGAGGTGGGAAGGGCAGGAACCGCCAGAGAAACAGACAATAACTTGGAGTAGGATGGAGGTCCACGGTTGCTGGAAGACCAGAAAAAGGTTAGGAGCGACCTCGCATACACTGAGCCAAAGGTGCAGCTGCCCTCCCCTCTCCTCTCCCTTTCCAACTGGACCAGAGTCAGGATTTTAGGAACCTTGCTCCGAGACCTACACTCATCCTATCTGAAGACTCCATGCAAATAAATAAACACACACACACACACACAATGTTGGGAGTGAATCTGAATACCTATCATGTAAGCATCCTGGGTGGGGTTAGGGACAATAAGGACACTCATTTGCTACACTGTTTTTCTTCCTTTTCTGTGTTTCTGTTTTTATATTTTCTTAGCAGCAACAGAACAGGGAGACAGTCTTGAGGTATTTTAAAGAGTTTTTTTTTTTCTTAAAAAAAATAATATAAAGTTATAAAAAGCGGCAGCAGCCTGAGGCCCGGATCTGGAAGGGAGGAGGTGCTGGCAGCTCCGTTGCAGTGGGCAGGCACTTTCTTGTTAATGGGCTTTTGACTGTAAGAAGACAAGAGGCAAGAGACAGGGTCAGGATAGGAACCTAGCAGTCATCTTACCCAGTGAACTATGCAGATTATAAGGGCTAAATCCTGATTTTCTTCTGCTGGCCTGGTAAGTAAAACTGAGCAAGGGGAAGATGAATACCAGCCTAAGAGGGGTAGCCTGGCAGTGAAGCTGGAGAACACATGCGCATGCTTACACACATAGATGTGCACACACACACACGGTCAGACCCTCAACAACTGTCAGGATGTACTGGATTGTCCTATGAGTACCAGGGGAGTTGGTATACATTAAGCCCATGTTTAAACCAGGCAAATACTCCCTACCTTCCCACTCTGTCCCATCTCCCATAAGTCCTTCCAGGACTTCCATTAGAAAGGCAGATAAACCTAACTGCAGGCTTTAGTAGAAACCCTGGAGAACCCAGGGAGGTGAGCACAGGAACAAGACTGGCAGCCATGTCTCTTGCCATTCAGTGTCCTGATATAAAAGGAGGAACCAAGGAACAAGACCAGCCCAACCTTCCAGTTGCTCAAGCATGTTGAGCCTCAGTTTGGAGACCCAAACTCCTCTTCCTTCAAGGGGTAGAGGTAGGCTTAGGTCCTGGGGCAACAGCCATAGCAATTCAGGAAGTAGCCCCTTTGCTTAAAGAAAAGCAAGGGCAGACAGGAAGCAGCATTCCCTGAACTCAAGAGAAAGGCAGTGGATAGGGAAAGATTAGGCAAAAGCTGAAGTCACTTGAGATGACCTCTCTCTAAAGTACTGTCCCAGGAACTCTCAATTTCCTCCTTTTCCCTTCCCTGCATAATCACCTACTTAACACCTCTCCATGTCAGGTACCCACTGCGTACCCTACACTCAGCCTTCCTCTCTGCCCATGCTCTTCAGGGAGCTAGTTGGTACCTTCAGTGTAGAGCACTTCTCCTCAAAGGCCAGGGCTGGGCCTGGTTTCTTGCGGCGCACAGAGCAGGCTGTGTCGGCAGGGGCACCAGCCTGACAGTGCTTGGCCTTCACTGGCCGGCAGTAAGTGGCCAGGTTTTTCCGTTTCTTGGCTACTTCCTCCTCAGAGAGGCAGTTGGTTGGCAGGGCCTTGGCTGAGTGTCCAGCAGCTCCCCGGTTCTCCAGCTGAGAAGCCTTGACAGGTATGGGGGGTGGATGAAGAGAACCCCGACAGTCCAGGGGCCCTGCCCGCTTCATTCTTGGCCCCACTGTCCCATTAAGCCCCATGGCCAGGGATGTTTTAGTCTTAGCTGAGAGACCCCGACAGCCAGAGGGTTTGCCTTTTCCAGTGGGTTCAAGGATGCAGGTCCGTTTGAAAGTAGTAGGGCCAGGGGATAACTTCCGCTTTCGAGAAGGAGCCTCCATCTCCACCCCATCCTTGCCTTTGGATGATTTGCTGGCCTTGGAAGGTGGCAGCTTGCTGAAGGATGGGGATGGCGTGTTGGCAGGCAGTGGTGAGGTGATAGCCTGGCTGCCGCCCATGCACTCTGCCTGACTGCAGGCGGCTGCCACACTGGGGGAGCCTGCAGGGTAGCTGGGAACAAGGCTGTCCTTGTTAGGGTTCATGGAGGCTGGGCAGGCAGGTCTGGGAGGTGGGCCTGGAAGTCGGGGGCAGCTGCCCACAGAGGATGGGCTAAGGGGAGCAGATAAGGTGGAGCTGATAAGATGGGGTGGAGGTTCAGCCGCTGGTGGGATCTTCCTGCAGCAAAAAGAAATCCCACTGTGATTAACAAACAAAACAAGAGGATCTTCCCAGCACATACCAGTCTCTCTGCCCTGCCTAGAAAAGGCCAGGACAGCCCCAGAGTTGCTGCCATCTGCTGGGAGACAGTGGAAGTAAGGGTTAGGCACAAGGCACAGGGAGAGGAAAGAATGAACTCATTCTGTATATATGAACTAGTATACAGACGACCACATTTTGAGTCTCAGTTTGGGCATCCTCTATCCCAAGTTACCCCAAAGGTACAGGAAATGATAAGAGAAAGAGTCTAGGCTCAACCCAACCCCCCGCCATCCATTCATGGCCTGCTCCATGATGCTAAATCCCCTCCTCCACTCATGCCACTCCCTATCTGGGGTCTCAGCAATGGGCACGTGCGAAGGACAGGGGCTTCTAAAGCCCACATATGCTCAGCTTAGGAAGGAAAGTTCTGGGCCCGTGAGACTCACTTCCACATGTGTGAGCTGAGGTGCCGTTCCAGCATGGAGCTGAGTGCAGAGCAGAACCGGTCCAGCCGGCGGCTAAACACATAGCATCCTGGGCTCACCAGGCGGCTCCCAAAGGTGCAGAACTAGAGGCAGAAGGAAGGGACATGGTTGGCGGTGTCTGAGGCACAGGGAGGCATCTGTACATAAGATCTGACCTCTCCACACTGCGGGCCAGGAGGGCTGGCCCACCCCCCACCCCAGGCCCCTGCCCCAGGTCCTTACCGCCTGTGGCCGCGGGGGCCGGGTTGCATAATGGCAGTCAGGGGGGAGGTGGAGATCGTCAGCTGTCCCCTCCTCCTCACTCTCCTCGCTGGAGGCCTGGGCCCCACCCCGGGGCAGAGGGAAGGGGAACAAGCCTGGGTCCCCATCACCACCACAGGGGCTTTCATCATCCAACTCACTCTCAGAGGAGGCCCGGGACCTGGAAGGGCCAAAGGGGAGGTGAGGGTGATGTGACTGGGGTGGGGTCAGGGTGGGGTCGTCCCTGAACCACCAAGCTCAAAAGGCTGGGCCGACACCCTGCTGGGCAATCAGAGGAAGAGGAAAGAGGAAAGGATAGGAGGGCATGACAAAGCTCACAGAGGAAAAGACAGAGCCCGGGCCACAGCTCCCAAGGGATCTCTCCCCAGCCCCTTCACTTCCCAAGCCCTGCCTCCTCAGGGGGAAAATCTGCTCCAGATTCGCCTCCTCCAGAAAATCTTCCGAGCTTAACTGCACCCAGCTCTGGTCAGCCCAGTCCTCTCTCAACCCCCTTCTTGCATCACATATTCCTGTGAGCCTGTCTGGGAGCTGAGCCTGTTTCGCGTCTGCCCTCGTGTTACAGGCAGAGATGCGTGTGTGTCTCCTTCGGCAAGGCAGGCTCTCCCCGGGGTCCAGCGCAGCCTCTGCACACGAAGGGGCCAGGGAATAAATACACAGTAGGACTGCCTCACCCAGGACCCTGACCCTTTCAGCTCCCCAATGATAAGTTTCAGCTTTTTGGAAATAGCTGGGAAAATGTTAAATCCTGGGTGTTGGATCTGGCATGCCACAGACAGGCTGGGGTACTGGGATACGTGTGGGCAGGAACAAGGGAGCCACCTGCTTCCATACCATTGCCAGGGGCCCAGATATCCCCCCACATTCAAGGTTCATCTACAACACTCCCTGGGCCTGTCTCCAAGGGGTCCCTGTTGCCTTAGGACCCAAGCATCCCAGTTAAAGTGGGGGTTGGATCTTGTACATACCTGGACAGTGCACAGTATGGATAGGTCTGCTTGGCTTGAGCAGAGAAGGTGCTGCAGGGAACCGCTGTTGCTGCCAAAGCCTGAACTGAAGAGGGAAGCTCCTGGGAGGGGCGCTCAAGAGCTGACTCCTTGCGTCCTGGGCTCTTCTCCTTGGGAGACTCCCCTTTGCGGGAGTTGGCCTTCAGCTCTGCCACTAGCACATCGAAGTCCTTGGCCCTGCCCTGGACCTCCCTGCGCTGGTGTACCGAGTGAATCTAGATAACGGCAGGGTAGAGGGATGGGGAGTGGGTATGAGCTGAGCACAGGTGAGGGGCCAAGGTGTGTCCGGGCCTAGGCAAGTGGGGAGGGGTGTCAGTGTGTTTGTAGGTGTGCTCTTGTTTTACTCCCTTGTGAAATAAACCCTTCTTTGGGGTAGGGAAATCTAGAAGCCACTCTTCGGCTGCTGCTCTCACCTTGTGTCTACTGGGGCTTAGCTTCCTCTCCCCATCCCTGGAGTTCACCTAACCCCATCCCTTGAGCTGGGTCTTTAGTAACCTGTAAATTCGTCTCCTCACCAAGGCCGTGTCTGTGCTGCCCTCCCTCATCATGCACTGGGAATTGGGATTACCTTGCAGGTCAGCAGGCGAGTGCAGATCTTTTTGGTCTCTGGATTTATGACCCCACATTGCCTGTTGAGATCGCACTCCTTCCCTATGGGGAAAGCAGTCCCAATAAACCTCACGGGCATTTCTCAAAGGCCCAGGAAGAATTGGGACAAGGCAGAAGAGCCTCCAGCCTTTAGGTGTGGGGCTCCCCTTTCCAGACGAACTCCTCTGGGCACCCACATCTCTACTGAGTATAGGACGAGCCCCAGCCCCAATCCAGGCACTTCTTTTAGAGACTTCAAGCCCCCAGCAGGACATCAATATCAAGAAGCAAAAGCAGCCACAGGCATTTGGGATGCCAGGATAACCACAAGATATGAGGAAGGAGGTAACAGTCAACTCCCCAAAGTGAGGAAGGGTAACTTCACCTGTGAGCTCAGCCTTTAACAAGAGACTGGGCTACAGAACCTTCCCTGGCAATAACCCTATCAAGGGGAAATGGGGCTCCTGCTGATGGCCAGGCCCAATGCTCCCTGACTTCCAACCCATCTGGCCCAAGGACTTAGAAGCCCAAAGGAGTTCCCACTCTATCTTACTGAACCCCAGGATGGAGACTACTCACGAGCCATCTTCCGGTGGGTTTTGGAAGGCAGCCTGGCCCCACTAGGCTCCTTCTCCAGGGGGCTGCCTTCGGCCCGGTGACTTGAGCCCTCACCGGCAATTATCTCGATGCTCTCTCTGCCAGGAGGCTCCTTAGAGAGGGGAGCCATGGGCACTTTTCCAGGGGAGTCCTTGGGGAGGCCGGCTGGCTGGCTGAGGAAAGCAGAGGGTGGGGCCACCCTGATTCCATGTCCATCAGGCTTCGGGAGACTGGACATCTTCTCAAGATTCACCACAGGCACGAAAAGGCTACACGTGGAGAGACGGTATGGGCTGGGAGGTGGGGAGGCTGGCCCTGGGGCCTGGATGCTAGCCCAGAGCCATTCTCTCAGGCCCTGGAACTTGGGTGGGCTCCAGGAGGGGTGTGGAACATGGGAAAAGGGGAGTCCATATTCCCTGGAATACAAGGAGCTGCAGATGAGACTGGCTGCTTCCTGCTGCGAGCAGTACCTCAACCCGGGGCTCCTACACTAGTGTCAACCCCTCCCTGGGTCAGGATCAGGGCTGGTCTTAGGAAGTCTCCAGCCTCTTCTTACCAGAGATTGTCCTTCTGGGTCTTCTCAGGAGGCTGGTGGCCACGGCTCCGGGACCCCTGGCCCTTCTCCCTGGAGGAGGTTTTGGTGGAACCTGGGGTCCTACAAGCTGGGCCCTGCCCATTCACTACATGGCATTTCTGAGAGCTGGCAGGGGCTGGAGGTGGGGGTGGGGCCCGGGCATAAAGCTTGCTGAGGGGCCCATGTCTTCTTTCTGTCACCAGGAGGTGGAGAGAGCAATCGAGGTGAGTGCTATCAACTGCCTCCTTCCCCAACCTCCTAACCTGCCCGCAGACTCACATCACAGAATGATTTTCCAAAGCACAAATTCTGAATATGCTTCCTTCTCTTTTGAATTTGAGCCTTCAAAGCTCAGAATTCTAGACCAGCTTCCCGAACCCCTTAACTTCACTGGATGTGAGAAGTTTGTTCAAACAATACCCCCCCCACACCCCGCATTGCTATGAAGCTGCTCCCAGAATCTTCCTATCCCCTGCACCACCCTGCACTGCCCCACATAACCTCCCAACTGACCCTCCTCAAAGTTCCATGTTCTGTTGTTCCCTGTCCCCTTATCTCCTCCCCAGGGCTCCCCTCACCGCAATGCTTCTGGAAAGCTTGAGGCTTCACCACCTGGCTGCAGTGGTTACACACAACCAAATAGAAGTCATCATGGGCTGGGCAGTGCCCGAAGATGGACATGTCTGCAATGACAGAAGCCCGTATCACTGGGGTTGGGGACCCCAGGTTTCCCTCTAAGGTCATAGAGCTCTCTCACTCCACCACTCAGAAGGCACTTCACCTCCCAACCTACATAACAGGCTTTCTGCTGCATGATCTCAGGTTCCAGAGTTCAATCTAACCAGTACTGAAGCACACGGGGCTTTCACATGAGTGAACGCTAACCACCTATGACTAGAATCTCTAACAACAGGTCACAGGAGCCAGTGCAACCAGCTGACTCAGGCCTATCAAAATGAGGATTCCCCAGACCTGCTCGTTCAGGCAGCCATGGAGTACAGTGGTGGAGGGGAGGGTGGTCGTGTCTGCCCTGAGTCCCAACCCTAATGTGTATTGACTCCCACCTTCTTTAATGAGGGTCATGGCATCCAACTTCTTCATGTTTTTGCTACTCTCCTCTTGCTCAGCCCCTAGAGGAGAAATGAAGATCAGAACATCCACTCCTTTCCTAGAGCCCCATGTCCTGCCTAAGCAGGGTCTGCAGCCAGGCACTATGAAGCCCAATTCCCTGACTAACTCCTGGTGCTCAGAACCACCAGAACAACCTTTCAGTGGGTCATTCTCAAGTGCCTATTCTTCCTTCACCTACTGCCTCTAAAACAGCTGGCCCATTAAGAAGAATCCTTCTGCCTTTCTGACTCCAAGTGCCTTTCACTCCAAGGGGCAGTTCCGGGTCCATTGCTGACTAGTCAGATGATTGTGATTAAATATCATTTCTTCCCCGGGGCTTGCATCCCTATTTAAAGGGGAAACAACCATGAAATTTTTCTATAGATCCCCAAGTCCCTTCTTGAGATTTCTCACACAGGTCCTTTCTGGTACTCTGTGGCACCCCAGATACTTTCCAAGGTTCCCATAAACTCAATTTTGCTCCACCTGAGTTACCAAAGCATTGGCAAAGTTAGACCCAGCTTCTCAGGTCTTGCATTGATAGGATGATCATAGAAGAGAGAAACTACTTTCTTTAGGTCCTCTGGCATCTTCAAAGTCTCCATGGTCAGCTGTGTGAGCCCCTCCCCTACCTAGGGGGCTGTTCTTATTCCCTGGGTATGGGTTGCCCTTGTACCTCAGTTTCTGGGTTAATGACAAAAACATCTTAGCTGTGCAAAGGATTTTTTTCCCCATCCCCCTATCTTATTCCTTCCCCTCCCTCCTCTTCACCCCCTTCCTGTCCCTTGGGGGAAAAAATCAATTCTGAGTCACCAAACCCATCTGACTCCATTTCCGGTTCTCAATGCCCCCAGACCCTGACAATGGCCCCATCCATGCCCACCAGCATGGGGCAGTCCCAGGGTGGACCATGCTCCTACTTAGGTCTGCTTTCATTTGTGCCCACTAACACCCCCTTTCAGGAGGAGAAGATTGTTGACAACCTTATATAATATCCAGATATGAGGGGTAGTGGGTTAGGCATGCAAGAGACAAGGAGCACCTCCCACTCTTAAGTCCATTAAAGGCAAGTGTGGGGAATGATGGACAGAACGAAGCTGGCAGCCAGGAGTCTCACAGGAGAACAAGTGTCATTTGAGACTGCTCCATGAGGTCTCCTACTCCACCTCTTCTCACTTGCAAACTTCTTTAGGGGTGTGACGCCTACTGTCACCCCCGAAGGCCACGAGGCCAGATGCTCCCTGGGGCCCAGGAGACAAAGATTAGAAGAAGGGGCTGTAGGCCTATTCACCAAAGACACTCAGGGGCCTACAGAAGGTGGAGGTCAGGGGAAAGAGCCAAGAAGCAGGGCAAGAGGCCCGGAAAAGGACGGAGGGCTGGACAGGGTAGGAGATGGACTGAAGGGGGGTGGGGTTGAAGGATGGATAGGTGGATGGATGGACGAACTAATTCAGAGGGGGCGGGGGTCCAGGAGCCCTGCAGCCGGCTGGCAAACGCCAAAAAGGCACAGGAGGTGTAGGGCAAAAGCCGAAGGAACAAGGAGGTGAGGAGGGGGGCACAGAAGTGGGGTGCGTGGGAAACACGTGGAGAGGATTGCTGCGGATGGGAAGATCCAGAGCAGGTGCAGGATGGACGAAAGCTGGAGGCGAGCAGACATGGAAAAAGATAAAGGCAAATAAATACGGGGGCAAGTACTGTGCACTAGCCGAGACAGAGGTGGGCTGGGTGGGCTGCTAGCGGTAAGCCGGCGCTAGGACCCGGAGGCGCGATGGTGGCTGAGCGGGCGGGCACTAGGACCCGGCGGGTCCTTTGTTTGGGGGGCCGGGGAGCCGGACGGCGGCTCTAGTCGGCGGCTCCCCT